AGGTTGGTACTAAAAATACCAAAGTGTCGATCACCTAAATACCGCAGAGCAACATTCGGGCAGCGTGTGACGGTTTCATTGGCCGTTTGAAGACCATAATTCGTGTCAAAGGTTATCAATTCGAAAAAATCAAAGTTTTCTGTCAAAACTATTTCAACGACTTCATATGCAAATCCTAGAAACCAACAGAGACCTCAAGATCAAATTTTGGGATTTCAGCTACAAATGTATGACGTAGCATCAATAATCTAAGTATCAAATATCAGAATTGTATATTTTTCTTCACGTAATACCAAATTAGTTCCACTTAGTACTTTTCGAACAGTAAAGATTTCAACGGACACCACCTCCACATCTATGTCAAATTTAATTATTTCAGCTTTATTCCTTCATCCAATACCAAATATAGTACCATTCAGCAGGTTCGTACAATTATAGCACACATTTCCGAAACCAGCTCCAAATGTCCGGGTTACACTTGCATAGCGACCCTAATGCCAAATTTCAGATTTCAAGCACTATCTGTTCACTCAATACCAAATTGTATCAAATATGGTTATATTTAGTACTTTTCGTGCACTTGAAGTACACATTTGCAAAACTACCTCTATATCACCAGCCTACCAACAATAGGGACCCCAATACAAGATTTCAAAATTCCACTTTCATTCGTTCACCCTAAACCAAACTGTTCTAAATTTAGTAACATTTAATGCAGTTCACACACTTAGTACACATTTCCAAAACCACCTTAATATATCAACCTGATTTTCAAATACCAAGTTTTTAGCTTTATCCGTTAACATAATACCAAATGGTACCATTTTATAAGTTTAGTACCATTTAGAACTTTTCGTAGCCTTAAAGGTCGAATTTCAAAATCCTTTGGTGACTATTATTCCAGTTTGGCTAATACAAAGTGTTAAATTTTTAGTAAATTTTAGTACTTTTCGTACCTTTTAAGTACGAATTCCCAAAAACCCTACACACTTAGGCTGACGCTCGTGCAAAATTTCAAGGGTCTTGCTTCAGTTAGTCCGTCAGTTACTCTTTTTTTTTACGGGGGGAAATAAAAAAAAACTGCAACAGAGTCAAACGCCATAATATTTTTTTAATTTTATTGAATAAAAGCAAAAACTGTCGGAAATAGCAAGATTATTCACATTTAAATGCTGGAATGCTCTAACGATAGCCACTCGTGGATTTCCAGCAAATATAAAGAAATCACACTATCACGCTTGAACGCCATCACGAATAATTTTTTTTTTTGAAAATTCTCACCAAAATGCTTTTGTACGCTTGTAGACAATAAATGAGCTGTCACTGGAAATGACAGCAGTCTGAAGTTGGTTTTTTTTTCATCTCACCCTGTATATACAGATGAAATATAGTTTTTTTTTTTTGTAGAAAAAGTGTTATTTTGAGATGCTCTGGTGTTTATATTATTTATTTTGATTTAATTTTATGTAATTCATGTATTCCCTGTAATAAAATCTAAGCTTTTCAAATTCAAAAACAATTTTTCCGACTGATTTCACAATGACAGCCATTGACATTTCAACTAAATATTGCACAAACAATATCATATATTTCAATGTTGATACAAATGCTGTTGAAAAAAAAAAAACTTTGCAAAATATAACGAGTTTTTAAAACAAATATTTTTTTTTTTTTTTGTTAAACTCATTTGTTGGGAATTTATTTGTCCAATTTTTATGTTGTTGTTGTTTATTGTTATTATGGTCAAATGCAATTGATGATGGTTTTTGGCTTTTGTTTTAATTTCTTGTTCTCATATATCAAACAATTAGCCATACATACGTATATACAGGGTATGTACATTCACATACTGTAGAATGTGTGTGCACATGTGTGTTTGGTATTTGAAACCTTGAATGTATTAACCCATCATCATCATCATCAGCAATGGTTGTTGGCTGGTTGGTTAAGTTGTGGCCAGGAGATCGCTGCTCTTTGTGGTATTTTATAATCGTATTAAATAAAAAATAAATATTTGTTGTTTTACAAAAAAAAAGCATTACAATAATCTCCTCCTGCTTCACAAATATGTGAAGCAGCATCTATCTACTTCCATTCAATATCAATATTCTGTGTGTTGTTGTTTTTGTTTTTCAATTTATTCATTCATTGATCTGTCAGACTGAGGACCGCCAGTCAGCCACTCAAATCACTTCACTCACTCATCATTGCTATTCATGGTTGATAGTTTCAATTTTATATTTATTGGAGGTTTTTTTTCGTCACACCACCCCCACCTCCCATTCCATCTCTTTGATATTACCCCCACCTGTATTCGGCCCATTGTGTTGGCTGGCTTATGGTTTTATTCTTCTTCTTCTATATCAACAACACAACACCTGTTGTTGTTTTATATGTTGAACAACATCAGAAATATTTGCAAAGCAATAAAAAATTACCACAAATTGAATTAGCAATACTTGAGAAACACATTGATTTTTAACCCACAAATCGCTAAGACTCTTTACAGAGAGGACCCTAATATACAAGGGTTTAAAAGCATTCCTAATCAAAAAACAACAAAAAAATCGAAAAATCCTAAATTCAATTACTTATTTCGGACTTCTTTAGAAATAAATTTTTGTAGAAGTAAAGACCCGGGTTTTCTATATTAAAAAAATTCACGTTTTTCTTTGTTGTGCAGCAGTTGTAAACAAACAAAATGATCGTGTTTACTTGCCAAAGAGGCCTGCTGAAAATGTACACGTTCGGTTGGCCACCAGAACTCAGGCGCCGGCCATGGTGACGGTGTGGGCCGCCATTAAAAGCTGATGGTCACTCTGCACCAGTATTAATCGACCGTGGCATCAGAATATATGCCGAATATTATCCGCGAAAATATTCTGTAGGTTGTATTAAAGCCTTGGGCACACAAACATTTTGGCCGCAGACCTTAGATATTCAACAGGATTCAGCACCATCGCACTCAGTACGAATGGTTGTAAAATGAGGTTCCTCGCTTCATTTCCAGCGCACAATGGCCACCAAAATCTCCGGATACCAATCCGTTGGACTATGGTGTCTGGAATGTTTTGGAAAGCAAGGTTGGACAAAAAAAAATGCCAAAGTGTCGATCACCTCAAGAAAACGCTTCGCCGGTAATAGGCCCAAATTCCGCAGAGCAACATTCGGGCAGCGTGTGATGGTTTCGTTGGCCGTTTGAAGGCCATAATTCGTGCCAAAGGTGACCAATTCGAACAAATCTGCACTTATTCTAATAATTAAAAATTTATTTCCGACATTTTTTGCCTTCATTCAATAAAATTTAAAACAAAAATGTAAAAATTATGGAGTTTGACTTTATTGTAGGTTTATTTTTTATCTCACCCTGTAGATTTACCCGGACCACAGTCCCCCTTGACGATTTTTTCTTCCTATATGTCATACCCTCTGAGAAGGCCGAGCCGAACTTCACCATTTGGAACGAATTTGGCAATTCTCAAAACAATAAAATCCGCTAAAAATTCTGTTAAAATCTTTAAAATACCGAATGTAGCTCTTATATTAGGGTCTATACGACGGCATGGACCTGGATAGGTAGCTTTTGTCATAAACCATTACAATATTCAAATGCGAAGCTTAACAAAATCGGTGAATATATACCTAAAATCATCAATATACCAAGATGTGGACCTGCACATACAATCTCCTGTCATAGGCTGTAGCAGCCATTTCGAATTTCAAATATCAAATTTGAAACATTTCCGATGAATAAATTCGCTAAAATTATCAAATACCGAATATCGGGAGGTACCGTTGTATGGGGGCTCTACCAAAACGTAGGTCCACGGTTTTTTTTTAATACCAAAGTCCTGCAGACATAATATACATTTAAGTAAATTTATCAATCTAAAATTTTATCAATAAAATTTTATCAATAAAATTTTATCAATTAGTTCGGAATCTAGATCGATTTCCACAGACGGATAGACGGACGGACTAGCTAAATCGACATAGATTTTATGCTGATCAAGAATATATATACTTTGTGGGGTCTAAATTGTATATTTTGAGGTGTTACAAACGGAATGACAAACTTAATATACTCTTCATACTATGGTGGAGGGTATGAAAAAGTCTCAGACCATGAGGATAATTTTTTTTCCTATAAAAAAATCTTCAGTTTACTGAGGGACCGATGCTTTCCACCAAAAAAAAAAATATATTTTAAAACAAATTGTCTTTAAAATGGTGTCATGCCAAATTTCCATGTAGGAAAAGATCGATACTTTGGTATTTATTTCAAGTCAATAAAAAAATGTTCTCCTAAAACAAAATTCTCTGGTACGCTTATGGGCAACTTGTGTGCATTTAAATCGGTAAATTCACTTTTCTGTTTAATTGTTGCTGCCACTTTTGAGTTTAGGTTGGTGCCCAGACAGCTAAACCAGCAAGGCAGTGAGCTATGCTGTTGATTGTTGGCTCAGTGGCTGGGCTGAGCTGGTGGTTTTGGCTGCTGCTGTCTGAATGTTTCAAATCAGTTTCGACGACAACCGACCATATTATTATTTATTTTGTGTTTTTTTGCTTCTTGTTTCGTTTTTTTTTTTTTGTTGTTAAATTCATTTATTACGAATTCCAAAAACAACAACTACACCCGTTTAATGTGCATTGTTTTTTTTTCTTCATCTGAGGTTTGTTTTTGTTTCACTTTTCAGCCATTCAAAGAAATTCCAAGTTTTAGTTGTCTTGAAACACTTCAACACTACTGGCAGATTTATTGTTGGCGCTTTGCATTTCGAACACAAATTTGAATTTTCAATTATTTGTTTTGTTTACAAACAAATCAAGAAACCTAACAACGACGCGGCCACAAAAAAGAGGCGGGAAAGAAAGAACTCTTGTTGCGGAGAGAAATCTGTTTACATTTTCTTCTAAAGTATTTATCATGTTTTTTTTTTTCTTCGGAAATTGTTTACTTATTACTAATTTTGTGTTGGTATTTTTCATTCTTTTTCCAGAAAACATGAAAATCAAACGTGAAAATCACGATGATGGTCCCCACTCAGAGAAACGTAGCCGACACGGTGATGATCAAGTTCGCATCTTGATACCCAGTAATGTAAGTATTTGTTCGTTAACTTTTATTTTTTAAATAAATAGAAAAGTTTAATTGGCTTATTTGCCAAGTACTTACCATGGTATAAGACAAATTAGAAAATAAATATGTGAATTTTAAATGAAATAATCTTGAACTCCATTAGGCGGTCGAGATATCTCCAGAACTGTTTAACATCTACATTTAGATCGTAACGATCGCTAAGTAAATTCGTGATAGGTTGAATTACCATGAAGACGAAGTATTTTCCAACGTAAGGTATATAAGATTCAGTCTTAAGCGCACATTTGAACTCAGGGACTTTTTACAACATTTTTAAATACAGTTAGGGTGAAATTTGACAGGCAAAACTAAACATTTTAAAATCTAGAAATTTACACCATTAACCTTCAGCCAATATACAGGGTGATATAAAAACAATGCAGCAAAGTCAAACGCCATATTTTTACATTTTGTTTTTTTAATTTTATTTAATGAAAGCAAAAAATGTCGGAAATAGCATCAAATTTTAGAATAAGTTTGGATTGTTCGAATTGCTCACCTTTGGCACGAATTATGGCCTTCAAACGGCCAATGAAACCGTCACACGCCCATTTCCGGCGAAGTGTTTGCTTGAGGTGATCAACACTTTGGCATTTTTTTAGTACCAACCTTTCTTTCCAAATACTCCAGACACAATTATCCAACGGATTGGTATCCGGAGATTTTGGTGGCGATTGGGCGCTGGAAATGAAGCGAGGGACATCATTTTACAACCATTCTCGGGTGATGCGTGCTGAGTGCGATGGTGCTGAGTCCTGTTGGAATATCCAAGGTCTGTGGCCAAAATGTTTGCGTGCCCAAGACTTTAATACGTTCTCCAGAATATTTTCGCGAAAATATTCGGCATTAATTCTGATGCCACGGTCGATTAATACGAGTGGAGAGCGACCATCGGCTGTTATGGTGGCCCACACAATCACCATGGCCGGCGACCACCGAAGGTGCACATTTTCAGCTGACCTCTTTGGCAAGTAAACACGATCATCATTCATTTTGTTTGTTTACAAACTGCTGGACAACGAATGTTTTCTCATCGGAGGAAAACTAAATTCGGCAGTTCTAAACCACGAACCATATCTGCTTATGTTGCGTTTTCTTACGTCCACTTCCTTGACGTCGGGCTACTTTACCAGTATCACGGTAACGAGCGATGGTACGAGACACAAAAGATTTATTCACATTTAAATGCTGGAAGTGCTCTAACGATAGCCATTTGTGGTTTTCCAACCAAATATAAAGAAATCACACTACCACGCCTGTATTCCATTACGCATAACTTTTTTTTCTGGAAAATTCTAACCAAAATGCATTTTTACCCTTGTAAACAATATATTGAGCTGTCACCGGAATAATTTAAGCAGCTGTCGGACGAGGGGCTTAGAAATTATAGCAGTCTGAATTTGGTTGCAATTTTTTCATCTCACCCTGTATATTTAAACCAGAGCTCTGAAATGCCAATGTCGCTCTCTAGTCAAAGTATGGGAAAAATAAAGAAATCAAATATCCTCTATTTTTCTAGGCCACTCGAATAACTGTGAGTAGGCTTTGAAGTTTTCAAATGGGAATAAATTTGGCTCGAAATCGAACAGATTTTACTCTTTCTGAGAACTCTTAAGTTGTATCATACCATTATTATTATTATTTTTTGTTGTAAGTAGGAGCAATTTTTAATCCGCAGCTGCAAACGAAACAAAAACAAATAGCGTTGTTGTTTTTACACAAAGCCCACAGAGCCTTGGCGTTTGTACACAATCTCGTCGCGCTTCTCAAAAGATGTAGAAGGTCTTCTTCTCACACGAGACCAGAAGTTCACACAGAAGGGCGGAATGTCTTCTTCCTACAGACGACCCTAAGGTCCTCCCAGAGAAACCCCAATGGCCTTCTCATAGCAGTTTGCTACTACCTACTCACACGAACACACAAATTTCCATTTGATTTCTTTCTTAGGATACAATCTTACTCTATTCTGAAAATGTTGATACTCTCTTCTTTTTCAAATAGCAGTACTCGTTAACTAGTGTTGAACTCTGGTTTAGAGGCTGATAAGATATTCTTTTATAAAAAAGTACACCTTTATTGATTTGATACTCCAAGCAAGTATTTTTTTTGTGAAAGTTGGACTCCATGTAATTAATGGACTCCATATTCCCTTGGCCTTCAATAAATTAATTAATAAATAATAAAAAAGTAGTATCCCTAGTTTTTTTTTTTTAAATTTCAATTGAGCCCTCAATTAGGAGCCCCCACTGCTATATATATTGTGTTCGTAATGGTAATACGTTCAAAAACGTTCAGCATTGAGATCTCGCCCAACATAAAGATAATTTATATATAATTTTATAACTTATATTTTTCTTTTATTTTTCAGATTGCCGGTGCTATTATAGGCAAAGGAGGCCAACACATTCAAAAAATGCGCACACAGGTATGGTAATGAAACTCCCTATCCACCTTGGTTTAGAATTCTAAGTATTTTTTTATGTATTTTCTATTTTTTCTGAAACAATGTAACCTCCTATTTACCAGTCAGATTGATTGTCCTATTTTTTTCCAAAACTAATTTGTCAAAGACCACAAAAAACTTTGTGAAATTAAAAAAATCTCCCACTAAGTTAAGAGTTTAATGTCCTTTCAAGCCCTTAACGAGTCATTATTTTGATGGAGAGGACTGGATCACTCGACCTTTGCGACAAGGAGTATTAATGGGTTTTATTTAGTTTTGTGGGTTATCTGTTTGCGATTTCAATTTTTCTTTCACTGTGTCTCATTATTTGCTCTTATTTAAGTGTGGTTTAATTGGTTTTAACAACAACTAAAGGGCCCTTATTTTTGGGATATCTATCCTCTTTTCTTAATACATTTATTGCTTCTGCTGGTTTAACTTCTTTTCTTAACATTTCTGCATCTCAAAATATCTTTTCTTTACCTACTTCATCATAACATGGTATCTGTATAATCTTCCAGTTCTTTTTTTTTTGTTTTAACAACCTTTGCTGCCTTGGCTGCCCCTCCCTCTTTTTTCCTAGTCGACTGCGGGGTGTGGAGTGTTGTGTGTGGATCATCACTACTCTGCATCTTCTCGGCAAATTTTTGTTAACCACGAATTCTCGTATTTTGTAGAACCATTTCAAATATTTTGTAGCTAAACTTTTAGTTAGTCCCAACTTAGTATACAATTTTGAAATGAGATCATTTTAATGCAAACAAGAACAAAAACAACCTTGACAAAAAAAAAAAACGAATAAAAATAAAACAAATACCACTTGCAATTTACCATTAATTAAATGATCAATTTTTCTCTTTCTCTTTTTCTCGCCCCCCAACCACCAAAATCTCTCAAAACCATAAACCAACTAAATCCAAATGTTGTTGGTCTCTCAAATACAAATCTCAATTGTTGACCTAATCCAACAACCAAAAATTAATGGTCCCTGTCTGCCTGTGTATTACCTGTTGTGCCCGACCAAACCACCACCACCGACCAACCGCGACCGACCATGATGGAACCAAAATGATTGGTGTGGTTCTGAAATTCGATCTTCATCAACGATTTGTTTTCAATAACAAATACAATTTTATATATCCGGCCCGGTTACTTGGCCCGATTGCCTGTCTGCCCGCCAAATGATTGACCAAAAAATTAAAACTCTGACCAAATATGCCCGAAATCTAAAAAACAATCTGTCATTGAAACCTGAACTGATTCTGCGTACCAAACCAAAACCAACACCGAAAATACCAAAACACCGACCAAACAATCTACGGGTCTTCTGTTGTCTTCTTTGTGGATCTGTTTCAAAATCTGTGTCTCTGACTCTGCGCGACCCAAACAATCGATCAATCCATCCATCAACGACCGACCAATGTCTGTAACTACACCAACACCACAAAAAAAATATTACCAACCAAAAACAAAAAATACCACCACCCCCCAATCAACTACAACAACAACAACCTAACTTTGTTTGTTGAGCAGTATAATGCCACTGTGTCTGTCGACGATTCCCAAGGCCCCGAACGGTAAAGATCTTACTATATAACTCACACACACACATACATATATATTTTCTTCTTCTCTTCCTATATAAACAAATATGTCTCATCATAACTTTATTAAGCCATGAAAAAAAAAAAAAAACAAAAAACCGACAAGTATAATCCAATTTTATTAGGTCTAAAATTCACATATATTACAAGAAACAAAGAAAGGGATTACATTTTCTTTATCTAGACTTATAATGGGCTTAGTTTTAACAAGTATTATCATTGAATATAGTATATGTGTTTGTAATATGTATTCCTTGTAGACTAACCTAAGCTGAAAGATTCACTGGAAACGAAGGTAGAGTTTGAAAAATTCCCTCTGAAAAATATGTTGCATGTCGTCAAGCATTAATCACCATTTTCATCAACTAATGCTAAAGATTGCTGGTGTTCTGGTAACTAGTTGCTTCACAAATGATGAAAATGGCACTTAAAGCTTTAATACTTTTTTCCCAAATGCCTAATTAACAACCCACAAAAATTATTATCATGGAATTTTTAATGTTAACATTAGCTTTTGCAGATTTTGAATCTCTTAAGGAAAAAGAAAACACAATTTCATTACAAGGCCTAAGAAGGTGAAGGTCATAAATCCCAAGCAGATGCTTTGGAATATTGAGAGGAATTCAAAGGAAATAACATTTCAGTTAACCTGGAAACCGTCATCTTCTGGGCCTGCTAGGTTCATTTCTTAATGCTATCGGCGTAGAAGTGTAATCACTGAAGAGGCACCCGTTAAATTCCTAGACGGAGAAATGGTCCGTGTTACCTGGTAATCGTCATATTTGGGCCTGTCAGGTTCATTTCTTAGTGCTATCGGCTTAGAGAAGTAATCACTGAAGTGGCGTCTAGACGGAGAAATGGTCCGTGTCACCTTATTAGTAATCTCATTCCTCGCCAAGTTGGAGTGCCAAGGACCGAAGCATGGCTTGACATTTTTTTGTTTCATTTTAGAGATGAAATCTGAAATTCGCTGCCAAAATGTTAAGCCAGAGATACACAACAAGACCCTTTAAGACGTGACTCGTGCCGACGTTGTGTTAGCGATTATTAATGACAATTGGTGTGGATGGCATCCAAAGTTCGTGCATTTTTAAGATATTGTTTCGCAAATGATCAGACAGCAGAATTTCACAATAGCATAAATGTGAGCCTGAAAATTAGACTATCGAACTTTCAAACCCAGCCCTGGCATGGAACTTCATAGCTTCGACAGGTTAGCTTTATTGCCAAGAGCTTGCATTAGGGTGTCAAAAGATCTAAGTCTCTAAACTGTTACTTTACAACTACAGAACTTCTATAGTCATGTAAGCTCTTCAAGTTAACGGAAACTCCGCTTTCTTGTGAAAAATGCACGCCTAAAACTCAATGTGATGCTCATTATTTCGTTATTCCTCATTATGTTGAGAACTTTTTAAAAATCCGATAAGACTCAATTGTACATGTCTTACTTTACTATTTCCCTAATTAGTTTTCTTGATTACCGCAGCCAGCAGAACGTCTGCATTAATCATTGGAGATAGTCTCAGAACAGACAAGCAATGGACAATCTGATGGGACTCATGGAAGTCCATGAATAGAACCTCTTATAACCCCTGAAGAATTTAATATTCGAATGGGTTCCCTTTTTAACTGAAATTCCAATGAAATCGATGGGAGAGTGCAGGTCAATGTTTCAAAATACCATAAAATGTGCGGTAGGCTTTATATGAACCTTCAAAGGGCTTTTTTTTATCAACTGTCAGTTCCAAATACCAACTTTGAAACAATTTCCTTGAAAAAAATGGCTAAAGTCATGAAAATAACCGGAGGTATCGTCACATGGGGGCCATTGATTTCCTATGTGCACCATGTTCTGCCAAAAGATGTAGAAACCATTACAAACTCTAAATAACAAATTTAAAACAATTCCGTTGAAAATGCTTACAAAATACCGAATATGGGAATATTATATGGGGGTTATACTAAAACGTGAATCTAGAAATTTCATTTTCAATACCAGTCATCCTAGACAAATACAATACAAACTAATAAATAATATAGGCTGTATCTCGATTTCAACACACAGGCGGATAGACATATGGACTTCAGTTAGAAATGAATGTTATATGGGATTTCCGACGAGTATTTTGAATAACAAATTTTATGTACCGTCCTTTTCATATACTCTGAAGAATATAAAAATTCCAAAAACAAACACCAAGGCTTCGCGTTCTTCTTGAGCTTCGATTTAGCACTTGCAAAGCATTTAATATTGCAAAGTTTTCAGCCTATACTAGAACGCATTTATCCATGAGGTAATATGAGAACTTTCTGGATTTGCTCTGCCCTGTAGCCATTGTGGAATTTTGTTAGCGACTGCAATCTTTTCAATACTGGAATTGAAAAAGCAGCTTTTTAATATTCCTTCAGAACATGGTTACTGTAGAGCCAGATGAATAAACTCAAGTCTGACCTCTTAATAAGCTCCTTCTCTTTTTTATCGAGAAAATCAGCGAATGTATTAGGTTTACGAATGTCACTAAAACCAAGTCCAAACTTATGTATAGTAGAATAAGTTCCCATTCAGGCCGAACTTTTTGCACCTTCCACCGTCAAATCATGTTTTGAATGCCAATCACAATCCCAGAACTAGATTTATATGTGCCTGCAGGACAAATTAAATACATTCGTAGCTTATGGAGGAGGTAACAAAATGACGAGCTTCGTACATCTCTTTTAGGTAGACAAGCCTCGAAAATTGTATTTTAAAATACTTCAAAGTAGACTCGCTTCTATTCTATTCCTTACGGCTTTCCATGAAGGTTGTTTCTCAATACATCGCAGAATGCATAAACCCTCTGTTAGATGGTATCGATGGCAAACCGGAAATTTTTCATATGTGAACCGTAATACAACACCGTCTTTTTTGGACATTTTTTTGTGATCCCTACCTGACCTAAGTCTGATAGAAATATTGCCACGCACCAAGTTTTACTGGATTTTTATGATGTGGGAAGTTTGACGACGATTTCATGTTTAATGAAAGTTATTCGAAATGTTTACCTTTTGTGGGGGGTCTTGTACCTTCAGGAATCACAAGTAGTGCCAAGTTTTAACTATACAGGGTGAGACAAAAAAACTGCAACAAAGCCATAATGTTTACATTTTTTTTGTTTTATTGAATGATAGCAAAAAATTTCGGAAATAGCATCAATTTTAGAATAAGTTTAGATTTGTTCGAGTTTGACACCTTTGACACGGCCAATGAAACCGTCACACGCTGCCCGAATGTTGCTCTGCGTATTTTGACCCATTCTCGGCGAAGCGTTTGCTTGAGGTGATCGACACTTTGGTATTTTTTAGTACCAACCTTGCTTTCCAAAATACTCCAAACACAATAGTCCAACGGATTGGTATCCGGAGATTTTGGTGGTCATTGTGCGCTGGAAATGAAGCGAGGAACCTCATTTTGACACGTACTGAGTCCTGTTGGAATGTCCATGGTCTGCAGCCAAAATATTTGCGTGCCCAAGTCTTTAATATACCCTCCAGTCATTTTTCGGCCACTGCTACGCGGGTTTCGATCAAGTCGCTTCTTTACTTTTCGAACCATTTCTGCTGATGTTGTTGTTTTCTTCCGTCCAATTCTTTGACGTCGGTCTACGCTACCAGTATCACGGTAACAAGCGATGGTACGAGACACTAAAGATTTATTCACTTTTAAATGCTGGAGTACTCTAACGATAGCCACTTGTGGTTTTCCAGCCAAATGTAAAGAAATCACACTACCACGCTTGAATTCCATCACGAATAACTTTTTTTTTCTGGAAAATTCTCCCCAAAATGCTTTTGTACGCTTGTAAACAATATAATGAGCTGTCACTGGAATAATTTTAACAGCTGTCGGACGAGTGGCTTAGAAATGACAGCAGTCTAAATTTGGTTGAAGTTTTTTCATCTCACCCTGTATAGGATACTCTCCGCTAAATATGATATTCGTATTTGGCGTCCAAACTTTTTAACTTTTCTGTCGGAATTACCTTACCGGAAAGAGTGAACCGAATAGCCCATTTCGCTAAGTGTGATAAAAGTATTACGATGTACTATTTACACAAAATCGTATCGTGCGAGCACTTTGCGCACAGCGTTCGATATTCATATCACTGAATTCAGATGCGAGTCAGACCAGTTCAACGTCTAGGTCTTTCTATAACACATCTAGGTAAATTTTGTACGGCAGCATTGTAACAGATGTCGAATGCATTAGAGAAAATTCAAAAAAAAAAAAAAAAAAAAAAAAAATAGTACCTGACATTGAATCATAACGCGATATTAATAATTGATTATTTGTAAAATATTTAAATCTATTTCCTATTCCTGCACATATTTCAAAGCAATTTTACTCAAAAATTACCACAATTTCTGAGTTACTAACCAAAAATTAGTTCGATTATTGTTCCTATTCTCATTACCACATCATACCATATGCCGTCGCTAGACAATTGTTATAATAGAAGCTACCATTCAACTCCATATGGAATTCGCATTTCCCCCCCTTAGTTACTGGCTTATGTATTTGTGTTGTGGTTAACCATAATGTGAAGTAACATCTATGGGAGCGGCAATGGTCGGTCAGACAACTTTTAGATTTAAGTTCAATTAATACAAAGTATGTATGTACTGTAATTGAAGCAAGTAGATTGATGGTAACCAACTACAGTCCTTTGAATTCATAGCCAAATACCAGTTGCTTACGCCTGTGTCTTCTGTGCGTTTTGTGTGTAAGCTATTATGTCACTAATACAACTAATTGACGACAAGAGAGAAAGACAACCAAATATGGTTGTGTGTGTAACCGAAAACTCAGGTGATGATTACCTTGAAAAGGATATTGACCGACCCGACCTGTCGTAACTTACATAACGGATAACAATTGTGACGATGATGATGACTATAATGAGCCTTGGGTTACTGGTTTTTATGTTGTTTCGTTTTTTATTCTACTTCTTTACGTTAATGTTTGTGTGTATAATTGTCCTCTATATACAACTTATTTATATACTATAACCATGTACTTGCTCTGTTTCTGTTAGCAACACTTGGTATTTAAAAAATGGAAAAAAGTTTTATTTTTGTAAATACACTTTTTATCTTCTCAACTTTCTTGATCTCTCTCTCCCTTTCTCCTCTATCTGTATCCTGTTTCATCTTCATGACCACCACGACCTACAACTTACATACATACAGTGTACAAAAGATAACCATTTGCTAGTCCTTGAAAAAAAGCTCCTTCCCAAAAACAATAAATTTGCCACTTAATGTAATTGATTGTATTTACGTATGTGGGATAGTCATTTTTGAGAAAAAAATAAGAAAACAAACAAAAGAATGTCCTTTATTTTGTTCCTTACTTGATGATACCACTTCTTTTTCTTATCCTAAATGTAATATTTTGTAATTAGTTTTTTGTTTTAATTTCGTATATTGTTGTTATTTTGTTAATAATTTGTTTCCTCTTTTTTGTATTCTTCTCTTTTCTTGCTTGCTCCGTCGTCTTTGTGGACTCCAAATGAAATGTAGAACAATTTTGATATCAGCCGAATTGGATGATACCATCTCAATTATCACGGAAATGATGAAATACTATGAAGAGGTAAGTAAACTTAGTTTTATCTGACATTTTTGTGAAAGAGAATAACATTTCCTTCCGCATAATTCGAATATTTTAAGAACTATCCAATTTGTTGAATTTCCGAGGCTGCCTTAAAGTATAAATATTAAATTTGATTATTCCAGGTGAAATTTATAATTTCTTTGAGATGATTAATGGGATTTTTAGTTTAGATCTTTTTTATTTTTGAGGGGAAATGTAAAAAATAAGCTAAACTTCTTGGAATGAATATCTACGGGTCAGATTTTTACTAAGACCAGAGCAAATGAGAGAATGATATTAAGATGCAGGGGTCCAAGGATTGGGGCCATGCGCTTGTACTGTTTGACAGCTACTTTACTTGGAAACCATTCGGTACATGTTTCAATGATGTAGACACGAAAATGTTCAAAAAGTAATAACTAGAGAAAGTCTTCTGAGAAGAATAAAGGGTTTATTACGTACCAGGGCATATTTAGTTCTATAAGGACATTTAAGAATGAGGAGATATTCTTATAAATATTGATTATTGTAGCCAAATTAAATTTTGATCCATTATTAGTCTATCAACCTAAAACGTTTCTTATTGGTCTATATTAAAAAAATCAATTCAAGCATTAGAGGTATATAATATTTATATAGTTTTTTTTTCTATATTATCCGATTGCACACTGAAGATAATTAAACATTCTCACGTCATATGAATCCTCCTTCGACTCGAACACAGTCTCCAAGTGCAATCTACTACTTATCTATAAACAAAAAAACAAACATATAAAATCCGACGGATTCTCTTCGTCCCAATAGTAACTGAAATTAGTTTTAATGTCAACAGTTCTTAAGACCATGCCTTCGGACCATGCTAGCTTTGCGATTGGTAGTAAACATAAGCATATCTCCTTTGTCGACACTGCGGAAAATGTTATTATCTTTATTTATGTATATACATATATATATATATATATATATATATATATATATATATATATATATATATATATATATATATATATATATATATATATATATATATATATATATATATATATATATATATATATATATATATATATATATATATATATATATATATATATATATATATATATATATATATATATATATATATATATATATATATATATATATATTTATATATTTATATATTTATTAAATCTATTATTTTCTTTCCCTTTGTTGCAGCGTGATTGTGAATACGATGTGCGTCTACTCATTCATCAGAGTCTGGCCGGATGTATCATCGGCAAGGGTGGCCAAAAAATCAAAGAAATTCGTGATGTAAGTAAAACATTTTGTTTTTATTTTTGAGTTTCTTAGTGACATTTAAGGATTTTAAAAATAAATATTAAAAATCCGTTGTAAGAAATTCGCATGAAGTGTATTATCGATAAGGTATGACCTATTATTGAGGATTTTTGTGATTAGTTGCAAAAATGATTGCATACTTTCAGGCATTTAATTATAAATCAGAGACTCAGTGTTGCCGTTTCATGGTTAGTGCAATTTTAATTTAAAAATCGAACAAAATTGCCGCAAGAAAGTAAAATTTTATTTCTTCCATAAAAATATGGGGGGCTTTCGAATCGTTACGTTATTAAGTAGAAGAATTTGTAATTGAGTAGTAGTAAGATGGAAATCTTATAAAAATTAATAAATGTTATTTACTTTTCCAAGTCATATTCATCCAATAGTTTTGACTAAAAAACTTTTTACAATTTAGATATTTTTGTATCCAGTTTTAATTATATATGTATACTTTTCGTACCCTCCACCATAGTATGGAAGGTATATTAAGTTTGTCGTTCCGTTTGTAACACCTCGAAATATAAATTTTAGACTCCACAAAGTATATATATTCTTGATCAGTATTAAATCCTATTTCGATTTAGCGATGACGCCCGCCCGTCTGTTGAAATCACTTGCTTTCGAACGAATTGAAGTGGTTGATCAATCAAGTTTGCTTAGATGTATTTTATGTCTGCATGACTTCTGATATTGAAAATGGGCCAAGTAGGTCTACGTTTTAGCATAGCCCCCATATAACTGTCCCGCTAGATTCAAGGTGTTAATCAAAATTTTAACAAAAATTGCTGTTAATTGACAGTTTGTGTTCCCATCATGTAAACAACATCCTTGCATAGACATTTTTATAAAGACCTCCATATATTTTATATATTATTGATTTTAGCTAATTTTTTTCAACGAAATTTTCTCAAACTTGGTATTTGAAGTTCGTAGTAGGCACCACCTTCTCTGGCATTTAATTGATTAGGTCCGCGTTTTTGTACAGCCCCATATAACTGTACCTCCAGATATATTCGGTATTTTTATGATTTGTACCATACTTTTCAACAGAATTGTTTCAAATTTGGTATTTGAAGTTCATAATGAATACCACCTCCTAAATAAAAAACGCATATATGCCCACATCTTCGTATAGGCCCCATGTAACGATACCTCCCAATATTCGATATTTAAAGGATTTTATCTACATTTTTTAATAGAATAATCTTAAATTGTCTTCCGGCCGAACTTAGCAGTCTTTTTACTTGTTTTTCATATTTTGAAAACTGAAGACAGATTTTATTTAATAAGTAGTTGTTGTCTGCCCAACCACTACTTATTAAATATTACGACAAAAACACTTCGTTCGATTCTACGAAAAGTTAATTGCCTTGGGTCACAATTTTGCTAAGACTTTCCCATTATGAGATCAATAACTAAAAAAATTTCAAATATGCCTGTCCCTAACAAATGATGTCTTCTGCAACAGACATCATCGAGCCTTCGAAAAATAGTACATCAATATTGTTCCTTCTCTATTTTTGATAGGTGTCTTTTACAGAAATTTCAAGTAAATTTGCTGATAATAAAAACAACAACAACTTATCTAAACTGTTTCTTCCATGCCATTATGTAGTTATGTCATGAACCTGTTATTTGCCTGTGTGTGGTCATTAGTTCCTGGGAAATATTTCAATTTATTTTTGCAAAAACAAATTTGTAGGTTTAATATTTTTCATGTTTCCATGGACTTTTGTATGCGAATAACAATAACACACATACTCTCATGGTGGTCTTGTTTTGTTTTTATTGTTACGTTTATTTCTATACAGTTCTCTCTCCACCTATAGAATTTGTAAATTGAATGGACAATGTTGTTTGCTCTTGTTGAATATCTCGTCATATTTTTGAAATGTATTCAGAGAATCCTTTAATCTTTTATTAATTTTTTTGTGTGGAAGTTGGAGTTTCTCACCCTACTCTAGATGAAGGAGGGGGATTTCGATAAAAAAAAAAACAAAATCGAAAAAAAAAAGAAATTTGTGTGGGAACAAAAAATGTTTCTTTGTGGGAAATTATTTTTTTTTTTAATTTCAAAAATGGTTACCTCAAAGTCTTCTATAGAAAATTGAAGACTCCGGAGTCTTCTATAGCAAATAGAAGATTTCAAAGGTCTATAACAAATGGATGACCTCTTAGTCCTCTATAGTAAATTGAAGATTTCAATGTCTTTTATAGCAAAAAGAAGACCTTAAGGTCTTCTGTAGCAAATATAAGACTTCAAGGTCTTCTATAGTAAATATAAGACCTCACTGTATTCTATAGCAAATAGAAGACCTCAAAGTCTTCTATAGCAGATCTCAATGTCTTTTATAGCAAAAAGAAGACCTCAACGTCTTCTATATCAAATAGAAGACCTCAATGTCTTCTATAGCAAATAAAAGACCTCATAGCCTTCTACAGCAAATAGAAAATAGAAGAACTCAATTCCTTCTATAACAAATAGAAGACCGTAGGATCCAAAGTTCTTATATAGTAAATGGAAGACCTCAAAGTGTTTCATAGACTTCAACGTCTTCTATAGCAAATAAAATACCGCAAGGTCTTATATAGCAAATAGAAGACCTCAATGCAATCTATAGCGAATATAAGGCCTCAAGTTCCTCTATAGCTAATAATAGCTATAGCTAATAATAGCTAAGACCTCAATGTGTTCTATAGAAAATGGAAGACATCAAGGTCTTCTATAGCAAATGAAGGACATCAAATTCTTCTATAGATAATGGAAGACCTCAAGGTCTTCTTTAGTAAATTAAAGACATTTAGCAAAATGAAGACCTCAAGGCCTTCTTTGGCAAATACAAGACCTCAAGGGTTTTTTTTAGCAAAGTCAAGACTTCAAGGTCTTCTTTGGCAAGTTCAAGACCTCAAGGGTTTCTTTAGCAAATGGAAGACCTCAGGGTCTTCTATAGCAAATGTATGACCAAAGGGCTTTTTACAGAAAATGGAAGACCTCAAAGTCTTCTATAGCAAATAGCGATCCTCAAAGTTTTCAGTAAAAACAGAACACCTCCAGGAAATAAGAGACCTCAAAGTGTTCTGCAAATCAAATTAAAATCTGAGATTGTTTGGGTTTTTTTTAAATTTTTATTTTTGCAATTCCCTCACAAAAACTACCAAAAGTAATCCAGATTCTCGTCTGGATAAAAACTGGATTTCGAAAAAGATAAACTCCCAAAAAAATATTACCAAAAAAATCCAGCTGCAAATGGAATGTAAAAATATTTCAGAATTTCAAAAGAAAACAACCAAAACCTGATGATGAGAAGAAGTTGATTTAAATCCCCAGGAATACAAAAACAACAACAAAACGTCAGCCAGGATAATGTCTAAGCAAGCAACAGCATCAATGGCAGCAGCTGTTTCCTCCTTTCAGTTTCTTCTTCTTGTACTCCTGTTTTGTATGGCTAAGGACTAGTGTCTGAGAAGGAAATCATGAATGACTTTTTGTTGTTGTTGTTGGTGCTGGCTTGGCAATAGCAAAGGAACGGGGGATATGTGTGCTGCTTTCTACGCATTTTCAGGTAGTGTGTGATCACGCAACCAACCAGTCACTCACACCACCACTCAAATCTTCAATATTTTTTTTTTTTTAAGTTTCTCAACTCCCATCTGTTCTTGCTGAAATATCATAAATTTAAATCCATCTTTATTTTTTTGTTAGTTTCAAACAACAAGGACTACGTCCGTGCGTATTGGGTGTTAGAGAAAACTAAGACTAAACTAAGAGGAGGGCTAAACGATTACATGTTTTTTGGGCACATGGGGCACAGTGGAGCTCAATTTTTAAAATAAGATTACTTTTTTTTAACTTTAATGGTTGTTGATTAGATGGTTTTTTAACCCCTTCTTCATACTTTGGATCCATCTATATTGAACACTAGTCTCAATTTTATTTTTTTTTTCCCATTGTACCATTTGCATTATTCCTCTTTCTAATTCATGTTTTCTTTCAGCGTTATTCATTGCTTTTTGTCCGTTTTCTTTGGGTTTTTGAGCTTTCTTAGAAGGTAGCAATGACCTTTGGCGACATTTGTATTATGTGGCGTTGCCAATGGCCGCACATATTCGAATTTGCTTTTTGCACCACTTACCAACAAAATGCCTTTCTTTCTTTTGGTCTGCATTTGAAAGGCTTTTTGTTGTTTGTTGAATGTTTTGCTCTTGCCTTTCGTTTTTTTTTTCTCTCCTTTATGCTTTTCATTGCAACTGTTGTTAATTTTCTTTATGAGGAATGTACTTCTTTTACATACATTTTGGTAGTAAATTACTTTTTCACATTTTTGTAGCATACTTTTAAACGCTTCCGACAATTTTTAAATTTAAGCCAAAGGCTATACTATGTGGTCCTCTCGATATTTAGCATTTCAAAGAATTCAGATTCAATTTTAAAGCGAATTTGAATCGAATCAAAATTCGAACCATGATAAATGTTCGATGTTGGTGCCATTTCGACATAAGCCAATATGGCGCAATATCGAATATTGGGAAGTACGTTTATATATACAGTTACGAAAAGGTTGACCGGTATGGCTCATCTTCGAACCTTCGAAATAGCGGTTTTAGACCCCAGGTTTTTTTGAACCAAATCCGTTTCAGGAATCAGGAATTTTTGGAATCGATCTAGCGATGCCCGTCTGTCTGGTTGGTGCGCACAACAACTCTCGAGGATAGTATCCGACTTGGTCCAAACTTGGTACATCGTAATATTATTATCAAAGTTAGATCGAGTTCGGAGACGGACAACATCGGTCCACTCCCTCTGGTACCTCCCCCAAAACAGGTCGACATTTTCAAATAAAATATTTTACTACACAGAAAGAGAAAGAAACCTAATTTTTTGCATCAGTGCTAGGTCAGGTGCGAAAATGGACAAAATTTGTCCAATCCATCAAGTACCTTCTCCACAAGAGGTCAAAATTTTGAATAATTAT